CTCCATTGGCAAAGATCACGCTACCTGGCTGTCATTTAAAACACCCGGACAGGGTTTTTCCACTTGCCACAGAAAAAAGTGGTAAAACCCGGATTTTCTCCTTTAAAGGAGAAAACCATGGGGAAGTGGTGGGTTTCCCTTTCCAGGCTGGCAGAATTCCAGCCTGAAAAGGGCTGCAGGGAATGGGAGGCCCCCATACGGAGGGAGGGAGTTGGGCAGGGCTGGTGCCCAGTTGCTGTGGGGTGCGGGGCCACGCACAGGCGTAGGGCCTGGGCAGGGAGTGGGACAGACATGGCAGCTCATCTGGGGTGGGGTGGGGTGGGGAGGAAGGGCATGGTTCCCTGCTGCAGCATGCACTCTGGAGGGGGGCGCACATGTCCCCAGATTTGTGCACAGGGCAGAGGCAGGTACGGGCTACCCACTGTGGGACTGGGGATCCCCACCTTGCTGTCCTCACCCTAGGGTCTCTACAGCCCAGCAGGCAGGACCCAGTACAGTGGCAGCAGCACGGATGACAGCATGGAATTGTGCCCTCACTGCTGCCGGGCAGGCAAGGGGTCCTTCACCATGGCGGTGTGGGGCTCCCAGCGGCAGCAATGAGCTGCCTTGCCTGGCCCCACTCTGCTCTGCCATGCTGTGCCAGGTCCTGCCTGCTGCACTGCAGGGGCCCTTGGGGGAGGGCAGCAGGGCAGGAAGTCCAAGCCTGCAGCAGGTAGCCCACACCCGTCTCCTCTATAACCCTGACTCTGCTCTGGCTGTGTCGCTCGTGGGGGAGGAAAATCAATCTCCGCACGGTGCTCTGCCACAACAGCTGCTGCTTCCCACAGGTGGCAGCTGGAATTCAGGCACTGCTGCAGGGGGCTGCAGACCTGGGTCCCTGGCCCCATAGCTCTAGCAGGTGGGGGTCCCCTCCGGCAGGGCTGGAGACTGTGGCTTGGGAGTGAGGGGCAGTAACATGGGCAGGGCACTGGCATGTCAGGGCTGCTCAGCACCACAAAGCAGTGGCAGGAGACAGTTGCAGCTGGATCCACATCCTGGTGAGTGAAGGGGGCAGGGGAAGCTCTGATGTTCCATGATAAAAAACCCAAAATGAAACGCTAAAATTTATAGGTATTTAGAATTTATTTTATTATGGAGACTGAGGCTCTGGTAGGCTTCCAGTTGCTTTAAAAATTGTAAATATATCAATAAAACATTGTGTTCAACTGATACACATACACACACATACATATACATATATACACACACACACACCCCTATATATATACACACACACATATATTAGTGATGTTTCATTTTAATCGTGGATTTGTGGGTTTTTAATCAGAGAAAACCAGGATCCACAGAGAAGATTATCACAGCCTGTTGCCAAGTATCACTTCAACCAGAGGTATGACTGGCTTTGTATCCACCCTAACTGCCGTCATATGTTTTCCCTGTGTCTCTTTGTAACTCTTCAGGAGTCATATACCTAGAGTATGTTTATCAAACAACTATTTATATAGAAAGTACTAGGTACTTGTCTATTGAAAACTGGTTTTCCTATGTACACTGTTCCCTAGAGCACAACAGAAAGCCTCCTCTGTTTAAAAGCTCTATTTCTCCCAGTCTCTCCTGGGATTTACCGGCACTATGAGTACAAGCTGCAACTATTACATCCACCACTGAAGCAAAAGGTGGAATGAAGAAATCTATTCAAACTCCATTTATTCTAACCCAATGCTCTATGCCTCAGACTTTGAAAAGTCTACAGGAACTAATTGTGTTACTGGGCATAGCAAGCAAAACATTTCACATGCCTTAGACACTCCCTTTCATTCCTCTCTGGCCGTTTTTTTAAATATATGATTTGTTTCTCATTCCCTTCATGGAATTTATGCTAGACATCAAGTAGTTCTGCAGCCCCTAAAAAAAATATATTAGCCTGAGTTTAACTGGGGATAGTAGGAATTTTGTCAGAAAAGCCAGAAAATTCTTTAAATTACAGAGAAATGGTACCTCCACTTCTGAATAAGAATCACTACAATGTTCATTGTAATGTAGCAATTCATTTGAATTTCCATCCTCTCATCAGCAGACTAATGTTATATTTACTTTTTGTTGTTTCAGAATTTCAGATAAGTATTATTCCCATTAGATTTTCTCCAATATAACAAGGAACAGGATCAAGAGGAGGTTTTTGGGGCCTTTTTGTAGGTTTTTGTAGTGTATCTACAGGATTTCTTAATTCCCAAGATACATGAAGCTCAGATAGATATAACTGGCAGAATAATTTAGTGTTACGGGACCAGCCAAGCATGATCAAGCTCCCCTTTGCCCCAACGCCAAATCAATTTAATATGACACATTACTTGGTCAAATCTTCTAAAACTGTCCATTGATCTTAAGAGTGGCAATGGAATTTAAAAGTTCATTTGAATTGAGCCCGTATATAAACACAAGAGTTACAGAAGTGTGGTCTTAAAATTAGATATTAGAATAAGTTATTTATTTTAGTGCTAAATGGTTCTAACTTATTAGAAAATTCAAATCTACTCATTTAACATGGAGAGGTTCTGTCAGGTGCTTAATAAGGAATTAAGAGCAAATGAACAGAGGGCCTGGACCTCCCCACTTATTTAGGATGGGGACCAACCCTAGGTGCACCACGTATTTCAATCATATGGGTAGCACAAGTGACATCTATAGAAGTGTTTTGTAACCTCACTTACAAATTTGTAGGTTAGCATACCAGTAATTTATCTAACTGAAGAAACCTTCATTTATTTAACAATTTACTACTATAATAAATGGAATTTAGAATAATTATATTCCAGCTTGTTTGTTGCAGATGCCATAACTGACAAAAAAGGAAAAGAAGAAAGCTAAACAAAAGCACTGTAGGAAAGACACAGGAGGTGAGAGTACCAACATAGCTCAGGCCTCAGCTGGAACATGGAGTCATTCTGAGCAGAATGTCTTAAGAAGGATATAGACAACCTGCAGTGGGTCCAGAAATGAGCAACAAAGACTAAAAAGAGGCTGAAAAGCAAACTGGAAATCGGATGGAAACAGGTATGTTTAATTTGAAGAACAGTTACCACAAGTTGGTGAGGAGGGCACGCCATATCAGTTTTCAAATATTTGGAAGGCTGCTGTAAAGGAAAGAGAAACATTTTTCCCTTGCCATAGAGAGATGCAACAACAGATCTGAAGTGCAGCAGAAAAACTTTAGAATACAACTCAGGGAAAACTTCCTTAGTGTCAAAACAGTAAGACAACAGAACAGGTTACCCAAGTTTTCATGAGAGGGATGGACAAGTTTTCATGAGTCTGGCTGGGATGGTTTAGGAAGATCACATCCTGTTTTTGTGCAGGGGATTAGACTAGATGACTCAAGCATATATTTTAGCTTCATGATACCTGTCACCACTATTTTCTTCTCCCTCACACATCCACATCAACACTTTGAATCCTTTTATATCACCCTCACTGGATTCTCAGCAAGAGGAATTGCATTAATTATATTAAATAAACCCATCATCTTCAACCACATTTATCTTTACACTTTTTTTTTTTAATTTTGCAGTTTAATAAAAGAAAAGAAAAAACACACCCACACAATTTTACTATTTATTCATTAGCAGAACCATCCCAGTGAAAGAGAAAACAATTAATTTAAGGCAACATTGGTTGATTTCATGAGAGGATTTCAGTTTTCTGTTTTATCTCAAAAGCTACAAATAAGAAAGCAATGAGAATAGTGAGAAACCAAAACCCACATGCTTACCAGTAGGCAGCAAGTATGTTATTCAATATAAATTAAATATAATTACACTTTAAAAAAATGAATAATGCTAATTACGACATCTCATATATATATATACGGACACATGTTCTTATCTCAACAACTCCCTCGTTCTTTCCTCCCCACTCTAATTGTCTTTTACACATTATTATTTAGTCCTGCCACAAGGTCCAAGCACACATCTATCTGGGCACACAGCTGCAGCTGCTGGATGGAAGCCCTAGATTATGAGTTCTTCAGAGCAGAGATATTTTCTGTGTATTGGACAGCACAGGGTCCTTATCCTAATTTAGTGCTTAGGCCATATGTATAAAATCAAGATTATCACATTACTGTAAGTGTGTATAACCCCTTATATATACTTCTTCCCATACTGGTATTGCAATTAACACCTAGTATTGTTGTACAAGGGTGGGGGAGAAGTGGCAGAAGCCAGCATCACTATTTCTGTCTGTTTATATTTAACAGGACTTTGTATCCTGCTAAATGTAAAGTTTCACTCTTCCCTGTCTACTCAGTTAGTCCTTTCCTCCCTTTTGGGTCTTTTGCACAGTAATAGGGAATACAAACTTTGAAGAAAGCAAAACAAAACAGAAAAAACCCAACGACAAGGGTGCAAAAAACCTGTACAGACACTCAAGTATCCAGGTAGGAATTTGCAATACCGACTGCAATTTGATTTCAAGTTGATGTGATCCCTCGAAAATAGGAACACAACCAAAACAGCCGTGGACAGCTTTGGTTAGACGGCAAATGACTTTTGCAGGAAGACCATCAGCTCTAAAATAAAGCAGTGGGGACACAGAAAGCAGCTGAGGTGCCCCCCGAAGCTGACACCACACAAATGGCCACCTCCAAGTGCTGCCTGGCTGGAAGGACACGGCACATGTCAAAGCAGCAGCAGGATAGATAATGCTGCTGATCAAGTTGAGGAGCTAGCGACCACCCACTTCAGATCTGTCTCGGGGGGACACCAGGGGGGGATTGAGACTAAGGACGATCTGCAGCATTTCCCCTCTCTGTGGAGATGCCTCCAGCCTGCTTCTGCTTCCCAGGGGTGCGTGGAGAGGAGCGAGCGAGCCCGCCCGCCCCCTCCTCTCCCCTCCCCTTGCCGGGGATCCTCCCTGGGAGGTGCAGAGTCCAGGAGGATCCAACGTGGCAGCGCAGCCCGACCCCGCGGCGCAGGAGCCCGGCCCACCCCCGGCGCACTCACCCAGCGCCACCTGGCAGGCTCTCCGCAGCTGCCCGTGCGGCGGCCGCTTCGCCTCCTTCTCGGCCAGGATCTTCTCCAGCGCCCGGGACACGAACATGCTCTTGGTGCGCGTGTCCTGCTCCCGCGCCGGGGGCTGCATAGCCGCCGCCCCCCGCGGAACGGGCGACCCCGCGCTCACAGGCTCCGGCCCATGATCCGGAAGAGACGCGGCTCCCTCAGCAGCG